GACTTATTTCAAGTTCTAGTTAAGTTATTTGTGACTCAACCACACATGAATTCACACATAATTGAACGAAACTTCATCTGTACAGGGTCCAGTGCAAGTCAACATACATTTGACGTATAGGCAAGATACAATGAGGCAAGGTGCTTGGCTTTGTGTCTAAAGTGTCAAATGCAGTGTGTGTGTATGTGTGTGTGTGAATGCATGTGTATGTTAGCCAAGATGTGACAGAAACAGGGTATTGAGATCTCTCACAGCTTGTGGATAAAAACTATTGCACATTCTGGTACTGCTGGCTTTGATTGTACGGTATGGTTTGTCAGATGGGGGGGGGGGGGCAAAGACGATGTGAGAGTGATGGGAGGAGTCTTTGAAAATGCTGAGAGCTTTGTGGAAGCAGTTCTTCTCATATGTGTCCTGGAGGTGTGGAAGGGAAAGTCAGTGTCTTCGAGATCTTTTTTTCTATTCATGTTTCCTGCTTCGGAATGACAAGCTTTATTTAATCTTATTTATACACATGGACAAGAAAGAACCTGTACGCTAAAACAGTACCATAAGTTATTCATGTGCTCCAACTCATGCAATAACCTTTGCGCTAACTTCCCACTCCATTGTTGACCTCAATAACTGTTCATCACCTGTTTTTTCTCTACAACAGGTTCATAGCACTTATTAAAACTGAAGCCTCTGTTAGTGTGTGACTTGTACTCTTAATTTACATACTGAACAAATGCTGAAATGCCCCCCCAACCTCCACCTCCACTGACACCATCTCATTCACTCCAGATGTCCTCATTGTAGTTGACAGATGAACCAGTGTTAACAGGATAGTAGCATACTACTGAGCTACAGTAGCAGCTCATGTTAGTGGAATTGACCTGTCCCTGTCACTCAGAGCGCAACCCTAACATCCATAATCACAGCCCATTCTATAATCTGACTGTCCTCTTTATACCAGAACATCTATTAAACCCACTAATAAGATGACGCGCACGTGTGGGTGTGTGTGTGTGTGTGTGTGTGTGTGTGTGAGACAATGTGTGTACAAGTGAGAGAGAGAGAGAGAGAAAGAGAGAGAAGGATCCAATTAGAGGACAACCAATCACTGGATTAATGAGAGGGTAGGGATGACAGATTACTCTAAAAAAAATGAAGGAATGGAGAACTGGGGGATGGCATGGGGTAAAAATAACAATGGGTAGTAAGAGAGGGTTAGAAATGAAATAAAGATAGAGAGAAAGGAGATGAGGAGAGAGGAGTAAGAGACACAAAAGGCTGAATCCTCATTTGCTTTACAAATCCCCTTAGAAATGAATACGGGTTGCGGGAGCAAAAATCTATAATCCTGAAAGAAAAACAAACCAAACAAAGACGACACAGTCACAGGATAGAGGAGAGAAAGCAAAAAAGAGGTTGCAAGGATAGAAGGAAAATGAAATAAAGGCTGAGAAAATGTATTAGAGGAAAATACAATACATATGCTAGACAATCTCTAGCATATTTGTTACAGAATACAATTCTGCATGTGTGTGTGTGTGTTTGGCTAGCTTCCTTCCCTAATGAGTGTATAATGTGACAGAGACAAGCAGGGTGCAGTGTGACTCAGCATGATGCCCCTTCCCTGAAGCTGGGTACATACTACACTGTCAAGGTGTTCCATTAGTTGTGCCACATTGTAAATAATTTATAATTGATTATAGTCGATATTCGTAGCACTAACACAACACTGGAAGAATGTGTCGAACATTATCACACTGTGTTGTCATTATAGACCCTAAGTTACCGTATTTACATTCTTTTGCTTTGTGACGGAGAGTGAGGGTACCAAAGTTTGCACTGAAAATTACTTTGCCATCTAGATCACAGAATACATATTTGTCCACTGATACGAAAAAACTGACTGAGCCAGGCAATCATTATATAGCTCAAGTAATTATGTTTACTTACTTTAATTGATTTTGTGATAAAGAGGGATGATTGCAGTGAGGACAAGGTTTGCATTTGTTTAGCGTTAATGAAAAAGAGAAGATTACGGAGCCATTTCTCAAGTTCGTTCAAGATGTCTTCACCATTTTCTCCAGCGATCAGAAATATGACTAACCAACACTTATTTTGCAGGAATTATATGAAGTATGAACACTTACAAAACCATCTGTCCATATACAAACAAAAACACAGAAACAAAATGCAAAATGCAATCTGCATCTTACTTATAATGACTACATAATTACTCAGTTTTTTCCTTTTGCCTTGTGTCTATCCCTTGAGTCTATCGTCTCTCATCTAAAGTCTAACCCTCAATGTCCTATACTGGACCCTAACACTGAACTAAAGAAGGCCTTCAGTCCAGCCAGGCAGGAGGTCCTTCTATTGGTCAGCCCCTGGCCTAGCATCACCAGCCTGCAGGGGAGACTCTGTTCTCAGCCTCCTGTTGTGGACCCCCTGCTCTTCTCTCTCTCTCTCTCTCTCTCTCTCTCTCTCTCTCTCTATCCTGTGTTTGCTCTCTCTGTATTTTCTCCTCGTTCCATCTATCACACTCTCTCTCTCTCTGAATGTCTGGGTCCCAGGCCCCAGAAACAGCAGGTGGCCTTCTGCTATCGACCGGCTCGGGCTGCTTTAATAGCATTTGCCACCGCTGGGAATTGGGAATGTGCGTGTGTGTGTGTGCAAGCTGTTATTCTAAACCGCCGCAGTGATCCAGCAAGCAGTACTGCACCGGGTTTCAAAACTCCTGCATGAAGAGTGACCACAGTGTGACCTTTCAACTTGGCTGCCTGTATGAGGTTAACAAAAAGCAAACGCAAGATATTCAAGATAACTTCGCATTTCTAGAATATTCTCTGACCCTCTTTGATATTCAATAAAATCTGTTTTGACTGATTTAAATGAACCAGACACTAGCAGTTATGAAGTAGTGTTTATCAGCTGTTTGAATCTGCACGAAGAACTGGCACAAAGACACATGATGGTATCACAGTTATTTAGAAAAATAACAACATCAGTCAAATTAACTGATTAACTGTGGAAACAATTATTTATCAGTTATCTGTCTTTCAATACCTAGCAGGAATGTTTTGATTACTAAAAGCACATCATTATTAAACAACATTATGATGGGTTATAATGGATTGCTGTTTTATTCATTCACTACATTTATCTCATTCTGTAAACCATTTAGCACTAAATGAATGAGTTTGTGTGTGTGTGCGTGTGCGTTCGTGTGTGTGTGTGCGTGTGTGTGTGTGTGTGCCTGTCTCTTTGGGCACTAAAATTTAGAACATGTTTCTGTGGGTTCTGTGTGTCTATGTGTTGTGTTCATTAAATGCTTTCTATATTTGTGTGAATGATAATTCCCAGATGTTCCTCCTAAACAGTTAGTGGAGGTCAGCCCTCTAACTAGGCTAATAGACTAATTACTACAAACGCCTCACACACATAGTGGGGAAAAATGGAAATTAAGTGTTCATAATAATTAATTTGTTATTCTGTAATATCTTTTGTAAACCCAATTAGACGCATTGCAATACAAATGAGAAAAAAAAGCCAAATTCTCGCATTGCTGAATAACAGATTTGCACAAAAGAGTGGTAAGTGGATGCCATGACAAAATGGCATCCTAAATATCTTTATTCTCCTCACTTGTGTCTCTCCCTCCCTTTTCCTCGCTCTCTCTCTCTGTGCAGATGGACTGACTGAGACCTCAGGAGAGGCAATGAGAGCTGTATTTGAAAGGGCACCTTCAACTCACTGTCTGTCTGATATTTAAAATGTTATCAGGATAATCTGGGCACTTAAAATGGGCACACATTTGCGCACACAAACAAACTGCACTACACATTAGTAAATACTGACACTTTGATGGTGCCAGAGAGGTCTATAATCCTCTGGAAGCTGCAGACAATATACAGGGGTAACTAGGCTATCGCTGCCAACAAAACAGCAGCGGCCTTCTGTGATTATGGGTGGCAGGAGATAAAGAGGAGGGAGAGAGAAAATGATATGCATATTATCTCTTCTTCAGAGCTTTTGCAATATTATTTCTAACATTGGCATTAATAATGGACAATGAACAGAGCTAAAGTGGACTGAAAAGAAAAAAGGATGCACCATGGGGTCTGATCTGGCCTCAGTGACTTACACAGTGCTGTGCCGTAAAGAGAATGATTGTGTTTAATGGGAAAAGTTTGTGTGTTTACAGTTTCTGTGTTGAAGATTTACCTTTCATAACTTGTTGGTCAGTCATGATAAGAACAGTCACTTTACCTCTGAAAAAAGTGGCCTGTACTTTGTAACCTAATGTTTAGCTCAACATACAGACGTCATCATTCCACCACATAAATTCCTACTGTACATGTTTAGAACATAATGTAAATACAGACATGTGACTGTGTGTCTTTTTGTGTGTAATATAAAGAGGAAGTGAATACCTAACATGGTGAGTCATAGGAGTGTGTGTGCATTTATGTGAGCACAGCATGTGTGTTACGTACTTTCCATGGAGCTATTTTAGCGAGGTTTTGCCTCTGATAGAGGTGTTCACAGTCTCTCTCTGTCTGTGTCCATTACACAGAGTGCTGCTATTTCGCGCCACATTCCATGTCATCAAAGGTACTAAGAGAGATTGTGTGTGTCTGTGTGTGTGTGTGTATCTGTCTGTGCTCAGACATACACACATACACGCATGCACGCACGCACGCGCGCACACACACACACACATACAAGTGGACTAAGACCACTCTGCTCTCTCCCTATAATTCAACACATTTATTCACTCCAGCTCTACCCTCAGTGTGTTTCTATAAAAAGACATGGTCATAGCATCCAACAGTCCATCCAATCCTTTTCTCTCCTCCTGCCAGGCTGTAATGAAATCCTCTATGCTACACCAAAGGTTATTCTACCCTCTGACATAAGAAAATGATAAACGCCTGTGGTAATGATATTGAGTCAGCAGGGAGGACTTCTGATGTGTGTGTGTGTGTGTGTGTGTGTGTCTGACTGACCTGGGTCTCTGACATGACATAGAGGTAGTGGTGGTCAGAAGAGAAGGCCATGTCTCTGAGGATGGGTCCACTCTCCACCGCCTGCACCGTCTCATACTGCAGGGCACGAGAGGAGCCGTCTACCCGGATCTGGAAAAGCAGAGAAGCACATTATGAATTACTTAAATATATTCAATATTCAAGTTAATATTTTAACTTTATTGATTTAGCATCTGATATGGTGGGGGTGAAGTGCCTTGGTCAGGATCAGTGACATTTTCACATTTGGTTTGGATTTTTTAATTCAACAACTGCCAAGCACACTGTGTTACCAGTGCTATCGCAGAAGTAGTGACGAGCACAGAGAAGCCAGTAATACCTACTTTTTAACAATTTTCTTTCACAGTATCTCGGATGTAAATATTTTTCTTCATCATTCATTAGTTACTGTATAATCAAATAAACAATGTAGATGAAAGGGCTGAAAATATAACCTGTAAATAAAGAACGCATGAGATAAAAAAACAGAAGAAACAGTGACAGAGAGTAATATTGTCTTTCACAGGGAATGACTTGGCAATGGAACAAGGGTGGTGTCTAGAACAACAAGGTCTGTAATTAGGAAGCAAGGTGTCATTAAAAAGGTACTTTTGGACATTATTATTGGCAAAATTGCCCATCTACCACATTCTGCCTGAGGATTTTCCCATACGTCATGACTTTCAGTGCTGTATGGGAGAAGCTCATCTTTCTCTATCACTGTTTCAGCCATTCAAAAGTGATTATGGTAATTAGGCATCTGGGCAAGAGGTGTGGTCTGTGGGGCCCCTAGGTGTGTTTACTCAGCAGAAAGTGGATTGAACTAGCCCCACACACACATGGTGGTGTGAAAGAAATGTTCTGGGTTGTGCCTGAACATCTGCTTACTTAGTTCCTCTCTCTCTCTCTCTCTCTCTCTCTCTCTCTCTCTCTCTCTCTCTCTCTCTCTCTCTCTCTCTCTCTCTCTCTCTCGCACGCACGCACGCACGCACGCACGCACGCACGCACGCACGCACGCACAGGGTGTGTTCCAAATGATCCTTTCTAAATCAGGTCGTCTGGCTGTAACTTCCCAGTAAAACACAGGTCTGACACCTACCTACCCAAGCAACTTTCAGCACCTGGTAGAATACACACTCCCACATCCACATATGCACACAGGCCTGTGTGGGCTTGCAGACAGGTGTGAAGCAAGTCTTGTTAAAGTTGTGATGACTCTTGGTGGTTTTTTGTGCTCTTCAGCACGTAAGGGTTCACAAGTAAAAGGCACAAACTGGAGATAATTGGACAGGAAGCAGATGGCTGTGCCGACAGGTGAGTCACTTCATGATTAATTATAATACGCTGATGACACCATACTCTGTGTGTTCCCTCTGTCAGCATATCATTAAAAATACCTTTCTGCTGGCCCCGCCTAAAGCTAAAGTCTCGTTAAGGTCAAGAAGCCTCAACTGTTCTAAGTAGATAAACTGAACCCTTTGGTAAAATGGTGCTGCCCCCACTGAAAACAGAACTTGTTATCTTTGTTAGGGACTGGGTGAAAATTATTGGAGGGGATTTATATGTTATTTCAGCCATACCTTCTAAGATTTATTGTTACAAAAATAGATATCTTTTGTATGTGCTGTGAGTTATAAAGTTGCACTCTTTGTCTTTCAACATTTTATTTGGGATGAATGTCAGTTTTTACGAAACAGGACAGAAACACTATGCATGGTCTTTATAGTAAGTGACTGACTTGATTCTGCATTGTGGTGGAAATCTGTGTAACAAAGGACAATGACAATGATCTGTCTTTCTGTTAGTTTAACAAAACATTTGCAAATGGGCTCAAGAATACAGAGACCACAGGTCTTTAGTCCAACTTTATACACAACATGAGCATGTAAAGAAGGGACTGTCCCACAAAAGGTTCATTGATCAGCAACCTACAGCTACCTCATCTTAACTATAAAACCTACTGCTGCATCGTCTTGCCTGAGGTGTCAACTAGTTCCGGTTTGAGAGGCGAAGATGCGGAGGAAGTAAGTCAGACATGGCCACCTTTTGCTACCTAAGTGTTTTGACACATTTCTATGACAGCATCATAACAGAAACCAAAGAATCAACTGCTCCTCTACACTCCAACTTTTCTTTGTCTTTGGCTCAGACAATCAACTACTGTATAGTAAAGAAAGAAACGCAAGTACACTGAGTGCAGTTTAAGTCCTGCCCTCCTCCTGCTGTTATACTTATATCCAGTTTCACAACATGACATTTCTTTAAGCAGGCACCATCTTTCACCCTGATTTCACCCTGCTCTCCCTCCTCCTTTGTTTCTCACTCATTCTTCCTCTCTCGCTCTGCCTCCTGCTTGGCTTGTGTAGTGATCTTGATCTCAAAGGACCTTGAGCTCTGTGTATCAAAGCCTTATACACTTTCACTGGGAACTATTGTATGCACTAGGGTCAGCTGCAAAGAAAAGAACAGAAGGCAAATAGGAGATAGAGTAAGAAGAGAGGGAGGTAGGAAGAAAGAATCCTCCACACGAGCCAGGGCCAGATTCAGCAGGTGGGGTTATCTAATCTGCCCAATTGGGTCAGTTAATTTGAGGCGCTGCGCGTATGTGCACAGTACACAGCATGTCAGTGTATGTGCATGTATGTGAAGATGTGTGTGTATCGGCTTACACTCGCCGAATATGAGAAAAGTGTGGAGCCAATTGCTGAGCAGAGTTAAAGGGCAGACAGTCTATGGCAGTGGCTGAATATAGAGTTTTATTGTGTTGGGACAGATCCACAGTCGCCGGGGAGCTGAGGGGCTTCAAGGGGAAGCTCCTGTATATTATCCCTCAATCTGACCACCAACAAAACAAATGAGCCACCAGGGAACACACAGCATGTCCGCAAGCATGCAACACTGGCTGGTTTAGTCACACTGGGACTGGAGGGGAACACGCAAGGGAGAAAGACCAATTTAAATGAAAGGCCAGTGGACTTGTTTGTACAATAATTGGCACATATAAAGTATTTAATAGTAAATTTACCCTATTATTTTTGTTTTATCAACACAGCAGGTTCACCCTGGGCTTATATATTTTAAACAGTTACAGCAGACTCCATCTCCCCTGGTATTAAACTCTGCACTTTAAAAAGAATAATCCTCCAAAATGTCGACTTACAGTTTGTGAGGTTCTTTACAGTCAAATGAAAATAAACATCTAGTGCATGATTTTTTTTACTACAAAGACACACACCACCCACAAACAAAAAGCCTACTCAGCATTGATGGAACACAAGCAATACCTTAATTCCCTTGTTGAAAGGCTAAAGCTAATGATTCTGATTTGTTATGAAATGACTAATCCTAGTTTCATTGTCGGCAACAGTAATTATTAATATATCTTTAAGTAATTTTTTCATCAGCCGAAAATCATTAAGGCAGCTACAGTGGTGCTAGCCAATATTATCTGATTCCTTTTCAACAGTAATAAAGTGGATTAGCTGCTCTATGCTAAATGGATTACAATGCTAATCTCTGCTATCACATTAGCACTACACAATAGACATTCAGTGCCAGACAGACTTCATTCTGCCTCAGAGTAGTGGGAAGGTGAGAGATGCATTGGACCCACACATAAATGCACACATACTAATATGTGTGTTCCCACGAGCACTTCCATGCATGGTAAACACTGGCATTTCACTCTCTTTCTTTCACACACTTACACACACACTTACACACACACTTACACACACACACTTACACACACACACACACACACACACACACACACACACACACACACACACACACACACACACACACAAGCAGAGGCAGTCTGGCTGGAGCGACTCATATGGTAATGAGGGACACTCTGGGGAGAGTGAGGAGAGTTACTGGCACTTTTGACTCATAGAGCACACTTCCTCAGCACTGCAAAATGTGTGTTGTAAATATTGCTTCAGCAGCTCTGTGTGTGTCGGGATCCGTATGTGTGTGCATCTGTGGAAGAGATCCACGCTATATCGCTAATCATATAGAGAAAATCCCAGTCCTCTATGAAGCGACCACCCTGGTCAAAAACTGTATCCCCCTAGTGGCTGTGACAGATACCTACACCAGTACTATCAATGAATACACAGGTAAAGACAGTGGCTTCTGCAGTTAAAAAAAAAAAAAGAAAAAGTCTAGACACCTGAGTTGCATAGGTATCTTTACTCTCACAAAAACACAAACATTCAGACATTCAGAATAAATAAAATATTTATGGAGTGTTTTTAAACTTACTCAGACCTTCCAAGAGCAGTGACTGACTATCCTTTGTTTTCTGGAGATCTACCATTAAAGTATAGCAGAATGGGTTATACTGACATACTGAAATACTGACTGTAGATGCATTTATAAAACATTTGCAGTGTTACAGTGTGGAGAAAAAGAAATCACACCTCATAGGCAGATGGTATTTTCTGCCTTGAATCTGTCAATGAAAAATAATGTGCCCAAAGTGACTACCTCTCTCTCTCCATGGGGCTAACAGCTAGCAGAAGGTGTGATACAGACAGGGAAACCATTCCGGTGTGAAAACCACAGGAGAACCCTCTTTCTGTTTCCTCGTACTGGCACTATACACCACAAAAGCAAACGGAAGGTACAGCACTGCACTTCCTCTGACTCTGCATGGAATCCAGTTTGTGGCAGGTAAAAATGTAATCCTGGATTATCTCTCTCAATGAAAATATGGTGTTTTACACTGTGCTGAAACTGTTTGTGTTATATTGTACAATAAAATCAATAGGATGTACGCTGACAAAGATGCAGAAATGTATCAAGCTACATACCAATCTCAAATTACTATAATGTCAAAACATGGATTGTTATTTTGTCAGTGGTTGAGTCCAAAAGACATCTAGGTCAATAATGTTGCTGCCCCTCAAGGAACTTTCTTCCAGTGAAAATTACCCATTGAAATTCAGTACTCCTGGTTGAACATCTGAGCACTTCTATTGATTTTGGATAATCTCATTGAACTGTTGTGCCATTATGCAGAAACTACTTTACATCAAGTGGTGAGATGGATTGTCCACATTTTAGGGGGAGTCCAGTCAATCCTCAGGAGGCATAAAAAACTG